TTAAATTGAAGAAACAGTCCATGTCCAAAAACCCCGGAGAAACACTGAAAGAATTCTGGTTTTTAAATTAGCATATTTTGAACGAATTCAGAATGTCTAAGGTGGAAAAGAAACCAACCTTTCTATAAGAAAACAATTATAGAAAAAGAATTTTCTTACACTGTATTCATGTCTCCGCCAGCAATTTGTGACGACTTCATTTAAAAGCAGCTAAGGAGAACGACGACACTATTTATTAGATGGCACATTCAACGAGCCAATGTGCCAAAATGCGGGTATAAACAATTATTGATTATTTAATATCGGAACCGAGATCATATAAGTTAATTGATTAGTTTTCACACACTTTTGAAACACAAATTATATGCTTTTTTACTGCAGACAAGTTGTTGTCCCAAAAGACAGCAGAAATCTTCCAATCACGGCTGGGNTTTTTATATCTCATCTTTGTGAAAAGTGTGCAGATAGAGGGTATTTTATTGAATATAAACCCTCGATGTTTAAAATATATACAAATTTTATTTCAACGTATACAAAAAATAAATCTACCTACGTTACAGCACGGCGGGAGACGGGGAAAGGGGGGCCGGGGGGCCGCGGCGTAGTGTAACGTGGTATGGGGCGCTGACGCGGGCCGCCGCGAAGCTAAACAAATTTAATGTTTGAAAGAGAAATAATGTCAATGGATTTTATTTCGTTTTTAAAAAGATAATAATGTCAATTGACTTTATTTCGCACCAGGGTGGGAAATAAAGTCAATTGACCTTATTTCCATTGACCTTATTACCTGTCACCCAGCTCTTCTACCATATGGTGGTAGGGCATGGCTTACAACCATGCAGAGGTGGTAAACGAACTCTGCCATTGGCCACAGTGCCTACCCACCTTTTTTAAACAAATAAATATTTTTTTTATATAAATACATACATGCAAACATACTGGTCAAATCATATGTCATCATGTAATTCGTTTATTATATATTTAAAAAATCTCGTCTAAATCCGTTCAGTAGAGTGGTCAAAATATCTCGACTTTCCTTTATACTATGTATAGAAGATAGTACTTTAAAATAGGTGGCAACACTACTCAAAAAATTACAGTTTTTATACATGCGAAGGCTATGCTCTTTCATTTGGTATCTCTTTCTTTATCCAACGAACGGTGAAGATCTTATAGTTTTTAAAAAGGTGGCAACCCTACTCAGAAGTATAATACATTATTATACATCTAGAGGGTAGTGCTTTTCTAGAGGCCGATCGCTTTCATTTGACACCTCACTTTTTGTAATCCAACGAACGGAGCAGATCTTAAAGTTTTTTAGTTTATGTATAAATAATTCAAATTTGAAACAGCCCGTATAAAGAAACCCAGCCGACTTTTAAGGGCCATTCACATACAACTTTCCTCGCTTTGCTTGACAGTTCAAACTTTGACAACAAAGCGTGAAGCGCAGAAGGTATGCTACAATAAACGCTTTGGCAGCTTTTGCGTTCTCCTTTTCCTCCATATTTTTTATCTGTAAAATAGATAACAATATAATAATATGCATTAATAATAGCAATAAAAATTACTATTTACCCTATTTTTGTTATTAAATGCAAATGCAAGCGCACGAGAAAAGATACATGTAGACAGCTAATTGCCAAAGCGGGCAAAAGTTGAGAGTTGCCCAAGATTTTGCTTCGTTTTGCTTTGCTTTGCTTCAAACGTTTTTTATGTGAGCATACTCATGCATATGCCTACAGCGATCTTATATGTCAAAGCAAAGAACTATCAAGCAAAGCGAAGAAAGTTGTATGTGAATCAGCCTTTACTTCTCGTTTAATGGGGGATGCGTTTATACGTGTTTTCCATATATGTAATAGTTACTTCTATATTGGCAGTAAGCTAGCTTCTCAATGTGTAAGCATTCCGAAATCAGAGCGAGACAGTCTAGTACTGTTTTTGTCAATGTATTGTGTACTTGAGTGCCGTTTTTGTAAATGTGTTGTGTACATGTTTATTTATAAACGTATGTGTTCCTTTTCTTTCGTACGTGTTTATTGATATATCTGTACTGTAGTGTTTTCGGACGGTACTAGCTCTTACTGCCAATATAGGAGTATTACATATATGGTGTTTTCTAACCGATGCACACTGGCCGAAATTGGATTTTTTTTGGCATAAATTCAAGATTTTTATAGCAATATATTCTTGATATCAGTTATTTTTCTAAAAGTACATATATCAACTAAGAAAATGTCCCAATAACAGATTTGAAGTTGCAACCTTGTGCTCTTAGTTTGCCTTCAAAGTCATGTGTCTGATCAGCTGTTATTTTGCCAGATTTGGAGCAAAACTATTAGTACACTTTAAAGTCTTGTGAACGATTGTGTTATTATAAAAGAAAGAAAATCAGATATGGATAATGAAGGTCAAAGTATGTTCAATACAGTGAGTTAATGGTTATATCGTGTGTGTGTTAAATGTTGCTTTTATTTAATATATTTGTAGTGCANGCGTTGTTATACAGGTAATTAAGCAAACGGGGAGGTATATAACTATTTATTGTATGTACATATGTACCAATGTGAACATATATGTCGCGGTACAATTTTCTAGCATTGCAAACTTTCCGAAATTGGATTTTTTTGGCATAAATTCAAGATTTTTATAGCAATATATTCTTGATATCAGTTATTTTTCTAAAAGTACATATATCAACTAAGAAAATGTCCCAATAACAGATTTGAAGTTGCAACCTTGTGCTCTTAGTTTGCCTTCAAAGTCATGTGTCTGATCAGCTGTTATTTTGCCAGATTTGGAGCAAAACTATTAGTACACTTTAAAGTCTTGTGAACGANTTATTAGTAAATTTTAAAGTCTTGTGAACGGTTTTGTTATTATAAAAGAAAGAAAATCATGTATGGATAATGAAGGTCAAAGTATGTTCAATACAATGAATTAATGGTTATATCGTGTGTATGTTAAATGTGGCTTTTATTTAATATCTTTGTAGTGCATATTTAAAAAATAATACTTAAAAATATGTTTGTGTTCCGTGGAGTAGAACTAGCAAGCTGACAAGTTATTAGACGAGCTAATAATACAAAAATGCTTACTAATAATTAGATTTTATTGGCCTAGTAACAGTTTTTGCTTGCTCATTTTTGCCCATTTTAACAAAATTTTAAATTTTTAGTGAAGTTCGAATTTCCACATGCAGAGCTTCTAACTATTTGGTGTAGAAATAATAAGAAAAAAGACGCGATAACAGAGTATATCTTTACCAGAATTGGGAAATCTCTTTTAAGTATTGATAAAAAAAGAGAAATACGCAAAAAAGTAGCAAACTTTGTCGCTTTTACTACACTAAATTTACGGAAATGCAATCGACAATTGAATCGACTGAAGGTAACGCATTCACAGTGGTTATCGGGAAATATAATCATAATTGTTGACAATAATAACACAAAAAAGCCCAATAATGTAGGACGACCCCATTTAACTTATAATGACGCTGGACCCCGATTGAAACGGAAATTGGCTAGCGATCTTTCGAATGAGCACGATACTTCGCTAGTTGTANCGCCCAAAAGGTTAAAACAAAAGCTTTGTTCAAAGGATCCAATACCAATATCTCCAGATGGAGCCCTTGCATTCTTGCTCGATAATTCATATACTAAAAAACAATATAACAGCATGAGAGCTTTAAATAAACAACAACACTGCAATATATACCCAAGTTATGACAGACTTGTGGAAGCTAAATTGAAATGCAGACCCCTTGGAATAAGCATCGATGAAACTGTCGCTCAAGTTTCATTGCAGAATTTATTGGACCACACCGCCAAACGCCTAATTTTAGTACAAGAACAAGTCTTCATTAGTTTTCCTGAAATCGCTGAACTTAGGCTTATTGTGAGCTATGGATTTGACGGGTCGACTGGCCAAAGCACTTATAAACAAAAATTTGCAAATGATCCGTATGCTCTTGATCAATCTTTGTTCGTTACCACAATTATACCTTTAAAACTGAGTGAAATTTCAGGAAGAGTGATTTGGAATAATTCCACTCCACAGTCTGTGCGGTTTTGCAGACCACTAAAAATACAATTTATAAAGGAAACAAGGGAGCACATTTTAATGGAAAAAGAAGACTTGGATCTACAAATAGGAAATTTAAAGCCATTTATTTATACAGACTTCGGCAACCGAAATATCACGGTGTTCTTTGATCTCCATATGACTCTAATAGACGGAAAAGTGTTAAATATCTTGTCAGGTATTAAATCTTGTCAATTATGTCCCATCTGTGGAGCAGGACCTAAAGCTTTCATGCAAACAAAAGACGTAAACTCTGCACATTTTAAGGCAAGGCCTGATAAACTGAAGTATGGCATTAGTCCCCTTCATGCTTGGATAAGAACCTTGGAGTTTGTTCTTAATGTGTCATATAGGATTGAAGTAAAAAAATGGCAAATAAGAGATGAAAATGATAAGAAAATTATTGAGGCCCGTAAAAAACTTATTCAAAAACGGTTATGGACGGAAATGGGACTTCATGTGAATAGACCAAAGCAGAGCGGTAGCGGAAACATGAATGATGGCAATACTGCCAGAAGAGCTTTCTCAGATGTTACGCTATTTTCTTCAATATTAGGGTTTGACACCGACTTACTGCACAGTTTTCACATGATTTTGATCGCCATTTCTTGTGAATACGAGATTAGCGCCCTAAAGTCTAAGCAGTACTCGGAAAAGACATATTCGTTGTATATGGAAATGTACCCGTGGTATCCGATGTCACCGACTCTACATAAAATTTTAATACACGGTGCACAAATCATCGCAGCCTCTGTAGTGCCCCTAGGCTGTCTTGGTGAAAGTGCTTCAGAATCCCGCAATAAATATTATAAGAGCGACAGGCGATCTCATGCTAGACAAAATAGTAGAACTAATAATATGGCCGACGTCTTCCAAAGAGCAATGGGTTCCTCTGATCCATTCCTTTCAAGCATATCTTTAAATAAGAGACAACAACAAAATCAAAAGAAAAAAATACCTAAAGAAGTTATTGAACTTTTGAAAGCTCCAAACGTTGAACCGCATTCCGACCATTTAAATACATCAGATTGCTCAACGGACACCGACTCTGATGCTGATTCTTTATGTGACATTGTGCTGCCATTTGATGTTCAGTTGGAGGTAGAAGAATGTTAAATATTAACAAAAAATACGTAGATATATGTACATATGTATGTATATAAAATTCGTATGAATAAAATTGTTTGTGGTTCTTATGAATAAAAACTTCGAAAGTATTTGCTTATTATAGCCGATTTGAAGTAAAGTTTTAACAGGTGGCAACCCTACCAAGAAATATAATATGTAAATGCACATCTAGAGGCTAAGTCGTTTCATTTGACAGTGACGGTGCAGAACTGATGCCTACGCTTATTATGATTGAATATAGTAATTTTCTTAATAGGTGGCAACCCAAGAATGATAGAATACAAGATTGCGCCAATCGAGCTGAGAGCAACTGGGTGTGACGTCACATTATTATAAGAATGAGAGTGTAAAGAATAATTTTGAAGAAGAAGAGGAAGAAGCGAACAAGTGGTGCGAAATAGTGATGTAAAACTAGGTTGAATTGTACCTACTCTTCACCTTCAATTTGAACGTACATCGGTACAAGCACATTATTTGGAACGTAGTAAAATATTGTTTCATGTAAGTCCAAAAGTTGTTATGGTACAGAAGGACGATGTAGTCCACCAACTATCAAAAATATATGCACATAAAAATACATGTTTACTGTTTAGGTACGTGTATCTACTTTTAGGTACAACTTTTCGGTATAATATGAAAATTTAATATTCATCACTAGTGCGAAAAAAGTATAATGTGACGTCAGCGAAAGGGTGGATGCTGTCAAATCGAGAAAGAGAGGATTAGCGGTCCGCGGAAGGCGCCACCTTTGTTTCGCTGCATCGTGGTGGCAACCCTATTAAAAACAAAAACATTAATAGTTTTCTATGGGCCAATGCCTTTCATTTGACACCTAATTTTTTGTAATCCAACGAGCGGTGTGTATCTTATAGTTTTTTAGACAGGTGGCAACCCTATAAAAATTCTAAATACCAACGGTAACTCTCCTTTCTATACAGAGTATACTATAGAAAATCTCGTCTAAATCCGTTCACTAGTTTTCGATATTAGCGCGTACAAGAATCTCAACTTTCCTTGAAACTATGTATAGATGATACAGAGGAGGGTGACAGGGCGTAATAATGATCTGATCGGCCCAACCTTCTTACCCTAACTTGCTACTAGCATGAATATCGTGTGTACCGATTTTGAGGACGATACCTTTATTTTTCGAATTTATGCCAAAAAAAATTCCATTCCGGCCAGTGTGCGATGTGAGAAATAAAAAAGCGATTTGTAAACAAATTCGAGTCAATACACTTTTAAAATCTGAGCGTATTGAAATTTGGTTTATGCATCCGTTTTGATTTACAGCGAATTGGGTCAAAGCGCTTTATGTGTCGGTATAAACAAACATATGTATATATGTTATTTTACAGCATTGGCCCCGATTTAGCTAGGTAACCCATGTTCACTTTGTCAATGTATATAATATCAAACATATAATCCTTAACATAGTCAAATAACAGATGGGGGTAGATATTTGTAATATTGATCTCGCACTATTTTTAATTAACTCTATTTCTAACATCTTCATTACAGGTGATTGTTCCGATATAGCAGACGAGATGTCAGCTGAGAGCAGGGGTGAGTACGAGTTGGTACAAACAAAGCGATTCCAATATTTTTTTTAATACTACCCGTAATTGCCTCGTTACCACGTAAATCTCGTAAGCTCAATTAATTTCGCATAGAAAACCGGTTTATTTATGAGTTTTATGCGGTTACAAGACGTTTACACATGTAGAAGAGCTAGTATCGCCAAGATGTCGAAATTCTTCGACATTTCATACACTTTTAAATTTTGCTTGTCATTAATATTGACACCTTTATGCGAATGACGATTTTGAAGTCCACCACCAAAATTTATAGCGATATATATAGTATCAAATTCCACTACCTTATTAGAAGTGGTAACAGATATAAGCGATATGGAAATCGCACTTTGTATGCGAGGTGCTTCATTTCTAGTGTGACCAACTATTTCATAGTTCAATGAAGTACAGCTTAGATTGGGTGAAGTTAACGCCGCGAGCCGATACGACATTTCGAATGCGGCTGATTTCGATACCTGAGAGCTCAGTGTTTTTTCAGGAGTGCGAGGCAAAATGCTTGCATCTTAGCCTCGCGAAGGTTGGACTGTCTAAAAGAAAGTGTGGAGATGATTCCATTTCATCTTCCTCTTGACAGCTGATACAAAAGGATCAGTTGAAATTCCTAGTCTCACCGCACGAATACCAATCGCACAATGGCCTGTCAGAACCCCCATCGCAATCTCTTGTGAGGTAACGTGTTTGAAAATGCCCTATAAAAACATTTGCTGCAGAAGATAAACGTCTTCTTTTCCTTTTTTGTGTCACAAAAGGACCCGGTTTCCCTTAGCCTAATAGCAGTTCGTGCTGCGACAACTCTGGCTGCAATAGCCGCAGGCGCCGTATTCAACATATGTCTGTTAAGCGCCAGTGTAGGTGTGGTTCCTAATGCTCCACTAGTTCCTGTTTTACAAGTGCAGCCTTCTCTAGTCAGCCTTGAAACAATATAGGCCTAAATATGGTTTCCTAGTGCTAATGCATTAATTTGGCCGAGAGACCTCACCTTTTACCGATCGCTCCCCTACCAGTACAAAGCAAACGACACCTTTCCTACCCTTGCATTTATTATACAATTATTCATCTTTATTCTGTCTATGATTTACAATCTTACAGACTAGAAATAGGCTAAAAAGTATTAAAAGTGACTAGTATGTGTAAACTTACAAAAAATAGGTTTCGAGAGATGATTTGAAAAGACTTCTTAGAAACGAAAATTCGATATCTAAGCTCTTTGAGATATTGTTAAATTCCGCAAGGCCTCGAAAAATAGGCGCAAAAAATGAGTAACGGCGGGAACGTAAAAGAGGATGCGAGAAAGAAGAGTTCTGAGAGGCACATTAAAGGTAACCTGCTCAAGAAGAGATGGGCAGTCAATGAAGCTAGAGATAAGATCGAAGATGAATGAGAGCAAATGGGTACGCCTTCTATTTTCCAACGATAGCAAATTTATTAGTTTACACTGGGAGTAATATGAAGGAATCGGATCTGAGAAGTTAAGAGAAGCGAGGGCAAGTCGAATAAACACCTTTTTAACTCGTTCAATCCTAGAAGCTTGACAATTATAAATAGGGCTCCATATAATAGAGGCATACTCAAGTTTAGATCGCACTAGGGAATTAAATAAGGCTTTCCGAGTGTAATGGTCTCTAAAATCTTTGGCATATCTACAAATAAATGCTAAATTACTATACACTTTTGGAAGTAAATGACAAACGTTATTTATAAATGAAAAATTCGAGTCAAACACAACACCAAGATCAACAAATTCGCTAACATAGGTAAGCTGATGGTTTACGAGGTAGTAATTTGAAGTAAGGATATTTTGAGATTTAGATAAGGTCATCCTAAAGCACTTTTTACATTCAAAAACAGTTTATTATATTCACACCAATCTAAATCTTCCTGAAGAAGAAGAACATCAGATGAGGTGGTTATTCTACGAAAGAGTTATACTTCTAAATATCATCAGAAAATACTGAAAATTCGCTTCAAATAATACGCCCTTTAAAATACCTTTAAGCAAGTTTTTTGTGCAGTATGTAATAAATAAATAAACTTTTTAAAGTTTCATAAATTGCGTTTTATTTACAAAAAATTTACAAAGAACTCAATATTTTCAACCGGCTTCAAAAAAGGGGAGGTTATCAATTCTTCGGAGTATTTTTTTTTTATGTATGCCACCGCATCACTTTGGACCGCGTGAACCAATTCCAATAATTCTTTTCTTTTTACCAGAAAGATGGTACCTGAAGGGTCGTCCCGTAATTTGGTTTAGATCCGATCATTAAATCATGAAAAAATTAACGGTACTCCTAAATTTGTATTTGAGAATTGAACCCCAAAACCTACCCCTTGTGCGCGCTAATGCTAAGTGCTCATATTTACTCAACTTTAAACACTTTGTGTGTAGTTTTTCTCTACGTGACAAATTTGGTATGTATGTAAAAGTAAACAGACAGTGTTTAATTTTGCACACACTAAGAGAGAAAACTGGTTACCTCTCTTTATGTGCGTAAATTTTAGCAAATATTTTTAAGAGGAAATTTTAAACATTTTATGTGTAAACTGTGAAATTGTGAACAGTAGATGTTTAGAACTCTAAAAACAAATTTGAAATTTGTTCTACGCCACACATATGATAAGTAAGAGTAAACAAGCAGTGTTTAATTTCATTAACACGGTGTGTAAATTTGCATTCATTAAGAGAGGAAACTGGTTACCTATCTTAATATGCGCAAATTTAAACAAAAATTTTTTAGAGTGTACAAAACCATGTTGGTGCTCAATTATTCTTTTGGCAAGAAAAGAGAGTTTAAAATGTATCAATTTTTCGAATAATTTGGAGCAGAGTGACAGTTTCGAAATAGGCCTAATATGTAATGTATGGGTAAAGTAGCCAGTTGCTCAGAAAAGAATTCAGACATAATGCAAATAAAACTTTCATAAGAGGCATTAACATCTTTTGAATTGAAGATACCACACCTATTTACGTCCTTTAAAGCCAGGGTTAAGACGTCGTAATCTGCATCACGAAAATTGTAGGAAATCCTATTATTTTGCCTCAAGGGAAGCTTATCAAAAAACTCCAAAGAAATGATAAGGGGATTATGATGCATATCAGGATAACATATCGGAGTCTTACATTCAGTGAGGTTAGATACCAAATTTTCGTCTACAGACACAAGATCTAATAATTTAGATAACTTATTGAATATGCAATTAATTTGTGTAAGATTAAGGCTATCAGTATCTCGGTATTTCCTATAAGTCTGGAAAATGTTGGAATCAAAGTATTCTTCGTTGAAGAAATTACTATTAAACCAAGTTTCCACAAAGATATATTTGTCATAATCCACACGTGAAGAACAAAGAAAGACTTCTTTAGCTTTAGTGCGCATTCCACCCATATTATGGAAGTATATATTCAGATTTTTGGATGTATATCCAGCATTAGACGGTATAACACTATTTGGAACTTCCTTGGTTAGCTTCTGGTAGAAAAAATTTAAAGGAGCGCACAATGATATCAGACGGCCACACATTTGGATTTAAGATGTGAAGATGTCAATCTTAAAGCTCACGCTCCGAAGACTCTCAAGTGGAGTTCCTTTTTTTACTAATTTGTAGCAGGTGAGGCGTATACTATCGATCTTTGCATGTATCTACGCAATGCGTATGTATCTACGCAATAAGGTTTTCCTCAGATACAGTCGGTTTAAAGGAAGAAATGTGCAACCATTTCTTCTTAATGACCACATCCAGATCTGTATTATCACTACGCCCATGAACAATGTTTATGCGTAGCTTATTAAAATTTCGCTTATTTAAATTTCGGACAAACGTCCAATCGTCACCATCTTCATTACCGGCCGCAATAGCATCATCCGATTTATCTGCACTTCGTTTATGTATGTTGCCATGTGTTCCATTCATACCACTTGTAGTTGACATTGTACTAACAGCATCCGGCTTGGCAGATGAAGATTTAACAGGAGGAACTCCGGAAGAAACCTTGAACTTGAAACTGTTACTGGCTACCTGACAGCACACTGCAAGTTAACGTACCGATTGATTGAAGGGTCTTTCTGTAGAGACTTACTGAAGGTTTTGTGGGCCGGTGAAGGAAACCCCAGAGTATATTCTATGTGCCTATCCACGAAGCATGAATAGTAGATTGATGCACCTTGGAGAAGGATTGACTTCTCCATCTAAAATTTGGAACAGGGCATCATCCAAAGTGCTGAGCTTTTTAAATAGCCTAAGGTTGGAGCGATTACAATTAGGATTTAGCACAATATATCTTCTTAAGTCGCAACGCGGGTATCTCCGACGAAATAATGATAATATACTCACTTGACACTCGGGTGTTTTGACGGCGAAAAAGGATGCGTGAAAAAGAATTGCGAAAAAAGACGCGTAAACATGGATTCAACTTCATTCCGGAAAAACTGTTTGGGGAATTCGTATACTCGCAAACATAGTTGACCGCGAAATAAGTTTTCTTCGTCTTTCTTTGCCCTCGCCTATGTTAAGAGTCCTTCTTCGCCGAAATTTTTTACGCCTCTGTTTTCGCTGTCAACTTTTGAGCTCGCGTCTTTATTCGTATCTAATGACGATATGTATGTATGTACAGTAAAATGAATCGCTATACGCAGTTAATTTGTTTTTATTGTACTATCTGAGTTTTAGTTTTACTAAATGTTATGTTAGCTATGTTTTTAATAAATTTGAGATTGAAAAAAATATTGAAACTCAAAAAAATGTTTGGTAGGTTTTGGTTGGTTATGGTAGGAGATTTTGGTAGGAAAAAAAAATGTGTCCGTGGCAACGCTGATTAGCGGCAACAACAGCATTAGCAGTACGCGGTGTTGATGGCTTCGTGGTGGTAGTAGTAACAGCAGGCTAATTGACAGTGCAATCTGAGACAGCATTTGTGTCCATGAGGCCACCAACTTGACGCACAGTATTATAGCCATTCGAAATAGTATTAGTAAT